ATAAGAGAATGTATAAATTAACATCGAGTCCATATGCATAGTAGACAAGGAGTGACAAAGATGAAAGAGTTTGATCTATATATATGACTTCAACAAAAGAAATTAAAATTTGTACGATTGGAGAAAGAAAGCAAAGTAGGACATAACAAAATCCAGCTTTAAATTACGTTGAGGTCATTTAAGAGGAAGAGAACGAAGTATCTATCCATGTTGACATAGATTGGCTTTTGGACAGAAGTCGTTTCATGTACGAATGAATGACAAAGCGACATAATGTTGTACTCACTCAATTCCCCATGACGAATCTTATCGAATGAATGGTTCCACAAAATATTTGGTAACTTTCTATTTGTCCTTTGTACCAAAATGAATCTTTCTCTCGCAGCTACATTCCATCCACGTGAATTTTTGTTCATCCAAGGGACACATTAACACAAACCCCAGCTAGGCTGATTATTAACCGGAATTCGAAATCTATTTCAATCCAGCTAGAAATTCGGATTATGAAGTTTGATCCCTAGATATTAAAATCTTAGTTCTGTATAATATATAAAACTTTTATATTACTATTTGAGGCATAAAATTTATATCAAATACACAATTCGGAAAATTATAGTGTAAATCTAAAATATAAATTGATTAGCAAAGAACAATAATTTTCATATCCAATATATTTTCTGTTTTAAATATTTTATTTTGTTAGCTTTTTCCTTTAATATGCAATATTAATTCTTCCTCAAAAATTTCTATGTAATATTTAGTCAGATAATCAATTAAAAGTGCATATATATATATATATATATTACTTGATGATTATTGTTCTTATATTTTCTAGTCATTAATATAAATTAAACGTAAACTAGTCAACTAGAGATGAAGCAATATAAAATGTATATCCTTATTTTTAACTTAAGACCAAATTGCATACGTCTTAAAAATTAGGTATTTAACTACATAAATATGGTAAAAAATATTCATATGTTTAACCTCGACAACACAAGCAAAACATAACTGCATAACACCAATAGATATTGATGCAAACACGCGATTAATCCATCCGATGAATTAATTAACATAAGCAAAGGTTTGAAACTTTGATGGTTGATGGGCGTTGATACAGATAGAGGATGGAAGTTTTGTCGAATGAATGCACACTCAACAAACGATTTAAACAACTTGAATCCACAAGTTTGTTTTTTTTGTTTTCTTTTTTTGAATCCACAAGTTATTCAGCTCAAAAATCAGACAAGACAAGTGAATCCTCACTGGCTTGAGATGACAAACTCAAAGACAAATTTTGAAAGAAAATATTGTTCTAAATCATTCTAAAATAATATGTGAATGTTAAAAGGGACGAATGTGAGCTTATATAGGCTCTTCTACATTTTTAATAAGTCTAAACAAAGGAAACAAATCACAAAAATTAGATGAAAAGAGTCGTTGGACATTAAAGATGGTGCATGGCCGAAATAGGAAAGTCTTCTTGAGTTTTGATAGCATGAACGAGTAATAGTGATGTCTATGGATATCCAAATTCACTGAATATGGCTTTAGAAAGCTTCCAAAGTAATCAGAATAGACTCGCTGTGAATTGTAAGCAACTGGCTCCAAAAAATGGCTAGTCTTTGGCTCCATGGGTTCACATGAGGGAAGTTCCGCCAATGCTTGAGTGGAAACTGTCCTGAGTGGTGTAAATGATCTATAAGTTTCAAATATGAGGTTTTGGGATGCACACAAAGGAAGGAAAATACAACTTTCCTTACTTATTTAATAAAGTCTTGTAAGATATTTATATATTTGATAAAGGTTTACAAGGTATTTATAAGGTATTATAAGATATTTCTAAGGTTTTACATAAGTACATAAATAGTTTATGTATTATTTTACAAGACTACAAGTATTTGGGTAGATCTCAAAATTTTAAGTGCATTTTTGATAATATTTTAGGGAAAGGGCATTTTTGGAAAGTGATATTGGAAAATGAGCATTTCCAAGTTCCCTTTAAGAAATTTGTCGATCTCAAAAAGAATAAGAATTCCATATTTTGTTTTCTTGAGAAATTGTTATTGATAGTTTTTTTTCTTCATTTTATATATTTTTTTTTCACTTTTTTTTGTTTTTCTGCAAATTTTGGTTTTGGTTTTGAAATTTAGTGGTTAAATTATTAAAACATTCGGTTACTTTAAAACATTAACAAAATTTCTTTCAAATTTTAAAGAAATTTATTTTTCACAACAAACATCAAAATTTAATTCTAAAAATTTCCAACAAAAATAAAATTTCTTAATAAATTAAAACATATATATTCTATATACCTATATTGATAATTATATAAAACTTATATATTAGAATAATGATAAAAAAATATTTATGTATATGTCTGATATATATATTAGAATAATGATAAAATAAAATTATATATATTAAGCCATCAATTCACCATAGTCACAGCAATTCCACTGAGAAACCTGGTAATTTAGAAGATGTTTCGTTTTAATTCATGTTTACGTGACATATTATAGAACTCAAAAACCATTATGTACTCTTGCAAAATATGTTTATATTTTTATTATCAATATAATCAAACATAAACTAAATAAATTAAGATTGGAAATTTTTGAAAATTGCCCTCTTTATAGTAAAAATGTCCTTTTTCAAAAGTTCTTCCAACCAAAAATATTTTCAAAAGTGCCCCTTGATATCTATGGCGATACGTGCAATGATTTAACCTTCAAATCACCTTTATAAAACCTTTTGAAATCTTTTAAAACCGTGTAAAACAATGAGAAATAGAATTTTAATCATATCTATAAAACCTTATAAAATTTTGCAAAAAAGGTATAACTGAAATTAGACATTATCTTGGGATATTTTTGAAAAAAATATACAGTAAAAAGAGTATTTTTGAAATTTTCCCATTAAAATTCGCATATGTATAGCACGGACTCTTACCTATTTTCAAACTAAAATCTCCAAATATTTTTATATCCAATTTAAACTTTCAAGTAATTTATTTTCCTTCAACAAACCTCCAAATAAGTTTACTTCGATGTTTTAAACAAATGCGGTCAACATTTTAGTGAAACCCATGACTCACGCTCGTGTTTACTTAGAGATATAAATTAATCGAAAGCAAATGTTTCTTTTTCCTGAGGAAAGAGTTTAATTTGGCTGCTAAACTTCAAAGAAAAAAATAAATAAATGAAATATAGGAGTATAAGTAAATGATCAGTTGAGGTATCTAATTGTAATTAACTTTTACCCTAAACCCTTAGATGAGTCTATATATATATGTAATGTCTCATTCTAGGTTTAATAAGAATCATTCAATCCTTATATAGTATCAGAGCTAAAAGCTCCTAAGATAAAATTCTCATTTTTTTCCCTAGCCGTCACCATGTCTTCCTTTAAAAACAACAGTGGAACAATCTCCATCAACTCTGTTCTCAATATCAATATGTCAAACGTCTCAAAGGTAAAAACACAAAACTTCCTCATGTGGAAGCTCCAAGTTTATGCTCTTCTCGATGGGTATGAGCTTGTCGACCACCTTGGATTCGCATGCTATCGTCACGGTTGGGATAACGAGTTTATATATATTAATTATTGGGCCTCCCAAAAACATATCTACTTACTCTTGAATTATACAAGAATTATTCTTATTTATGAAAACAATTGTAAGGAACAATGATTGGTATTTGTTATTTGAAAAATGATGTTATCTAACCTATATATAGTTCATTGAAATCACAACATAACTATAAAAAAAACTATAAAGTTAACGTAATATTTAGTGACAATTAAAATTTTGACCAAAAATTTACTACAATACTCAAAGTTAATGGTTTCTATCAATGTTTCAAATTTGTTTTGTAAAAAACAAAATATAAGTAACGATATTTAATTCAGTATAAGAAACTGTTGATTAATTTTATTTTATTTGGATATCCTATACCAGATTATTAATGAGTATGTGGTTCAAATTGACATATATATAGTTCTAAGCCAAATAAATTAAAAGGTCTAACTATTTATAAGTATAAATATATTTAATTATGAAAATTTTTAAAGCCTAACTCACATTGTATCTAAAAACTATTATTTTATTTATATAAAAAATCATTTTTCTCACAATACTCTTAATCTAAATGACTAATAAATGTTAGTAAAAGTGTACTCGACATACAACTTAATCGAAGGTTTTCAAAATTTTTATAGGCTAATATGAGATCCACAAGAGCAAATAAATGGTTTTAGAATATCAAATATAGTTTTTTATTAGATATATGTTAAGGAATCAACTATTATAACTAGACAATAGCTATTATATAACAGTATATTTAAAAACATATCATTTAAAATTGCATAGCAGTTAAAAATTATAGAAACAAATAACCACAAATGGTGAAACATCCATCTTTTCAAAACAAATGAAACCACAAATATCACTAATCCTTAGATATGATTTAACACTAATTAAGATGCATGTGAACTAACAGATCCATTAGGAAATGCAAATTTTTCCTATGAATATTTATAAAGTCAAAGTATTTAATCTATATCATATTCAAATTTGTCTCACCCATTCAAGTTTTCGTTTTCACATTGAAAATCGAATTAAAAATCTCCTTGAAAACGTTTTGGTTATTTTTATGAGGTCTTGATTTAAGGTTATTGAATTAAAGACTAGAGATCAAGGATATATTAATTGTTTTTGAATTTATAAAAATTATGTTCTATAAATGCTTTGAGAAAAAAATGGTAAACTTTGTTGAATTATCAAAAACATATTACTCTAAAAAAAACAGATATAAAAATTAAATTCACTCAATAATATTTGTAGCTACTCTTAATACTTAACTTTAAAATTATTATTCAACTCTTAACAGAAAAATTTGTTTTGAAGTGCCAATAGAAAATAAAAAAATTAAGTTCTTCTTTTTTAGAGAAAATTCGCTTCAGTTAATACTGTAGTAAAGTTAAAATATAAATGTTTGTGGTAAAATAACTGTAACAACACAGAAATATCAATTTATTCGGTAAAAAATAGTACAAGCAATACATATTTCAAGCACTTTTGGAGATTGAGACACAATGATTCCACAAGTCATCACTCTTCTTCAAGTATTCTGTTTCGTGGGCAATTAACATGGGTTTATCTGCAATATATTTAATAAGCTTATCGTGACACATTTTCCCTTCTTTGATGAGATCGTTGCAACAAGGATCAGAGATGGTTCCATTTTCAAAGACAACAGCGATTATATCCAACGCACAGTTAGGAGTGATTTTAAGAAGACAAGTATTCCATAATAATTTTGCTTCAGCTTCTTCGACTGAGAAAACCAGAACAAACGCACACACCAAAGTTACAACAATAAATAGAGTGGTAATTTGAGAGCTAAATTTAGACATATCTACTTACGCTTGAAATATACAAGAATTATTCCTATTTTATGAAAAATAATTGTAAGAAACAATGATTTGTATTTGTTATTTGAAAAATGAAGTTATCGAACCTATATATAGGTCTTTAAAATCACAACGTCACTATAAAAAAAACTATAAAGTTAACGTAATATTTAATGGCAATTAAAATTTTGACAAAACATATACTACAATACTTAAAGTTAATAGTTTCTATCAACGTTTCAATTTTTTAAAAAAAAAAAAACTAAATACAAGTAACGGTATCCAATTCAATATAATAAACTGATTGTTAATTTTATTTTCTTTCGATATCCTAAACCAAATTATTAATGAGTACGAGGTTCAAATTGACATATATATATAAGCCACATAAGTCAAAAGTTCTAACTATTTATAAGTAGAAAAGTCAAAAGTTCTAACTATTTATAAGTAGAAATGTACTTAATTATGAAACTTTTAAAAGCATAACTCACATTGTAAAAACTATTATTTTATTTATATAAAAATCATTTTCTCACAATATTCTTAATCTAATGGGCTAATAAATGTTAGTAAAAGTATATTCGACATACAACTTATTCGAAGGTATTCAAATATTTTATAGGCTAATATGAAATCCACAAGAGCAAATAAATGGTTTTAGAATATCAAATATAGTTTTGTTATTAGATTTATGTTAACTAGTATAACTAGACAATAGCTATTATATAACCGTATATTTTAAAAATATCAATTAAAATTGCATATCAATAAAAGATTATAGAAACAAATAACCAATAATGATGAAACATCCATCATTTCAAAACAACTTAATCCTAACATATCAAAAAGTACATGATAATTAGGATCCGATTGGATTGATTTGTTAAGAATATATACCACTAAATAAAATCTAATCAAATGTTTTAAATGTTTTTTTCGTGGATCAGGAAGTTAATAAACTCTAGTAGGGACAACGAGTACTTCAACAAATCCAGACTTTTCCAAATGGCTTCACCAAGACAAACTCATCTACAGTGCATTCATCGGCTCAATCTCCTCATCAATCCAGCCAAGACAATAATTGAATGCATCAAGTGAAATAGTGAAAGAACATTGGATCACAAGTTTAATTGGACGAGCACAACACCAATTTGAGCGGAACAAACTTTTACGGAAAATGGCTGGTTGAAGTATTGTTTTAAAATGTCTAACTAGTTTAGTAGATTGATCATCATAAAAATAGGACTGGATTGTTACACACTTTATGGTGCCATCTGTACTCACTCGACCATGCAACTCATAATCTCAGCAAGTAGCCCTTTAACAAGTCGAATTAATATCCTACTGTTCCTCCAGCGGTATATCGTTCTTGATCTAGGCATTTATTATCCACGATTAAGTTTTTCCAATTGTGTCCACCCCATTTGTACATGCTAGCTTCGGAGTATCATTCTAATATCATACTCTTACAAGAATGTGGGACTAAATTTGAATGATAAAGTAACAGTATCACATCACACAAAGCACAAACTTCTGGCAAATATGACCCAAAGATACAAGTCCTGGTTAAGAGATTGTTTACTTCATTACTATTGCAATCATGTTGTAGTCAGTCTCCTTAGTCAAATGACTTAGGTATACCCGACCCGCATTAACTTTGATTTCTAAACAGATGTCAAATATTTTTTCCATAAAAATTAATGGGCAACAAGATAAACGAAATTTAGACCTACTAATTAGTAAGATAAATAAAATAGATAAGATAGAGTAGGAAGGATTTGAAACACCCACCTTAACGCTTCTACTAAAGGTAAAAACCAATTTCACTAGTTAAAATCTACCTATTATATTTACGGCTGCATGGCATGGACCTGGTCCGCTTGTATAAGGACCGAGTCTGCTCTTATTGCTTGTAGGGGGAGCATATCAAGGGGTTCTTTGTTTGATAAAAGGAAAGAAGTAAACAAATGAACAGGCACATACAAGCATTACACAACCTATGGCAAAACAAGTGCTTTGACTCTTCGGACGAGATTGCATCCCTCGTCCATTCATTTCCCTCTAAAGTCTTGTCAAGGACAATTCACTAGGCTGAATTTTCCAACCAAGAGTTTCAATTCCACTCCAAGAATCCAACCCTTAAATCCAGAAAAAAAAAATAACAAATTGACCCTTGGATTACCAAGCCCATAACTAAATCAGCATCTTCGTCATATTTAGTCTCTTTTTGTAGCTTGAGGTTTGGATACTCTTTAGAAGAAAAAACTCATGTGTAGCTTCTCAAAACCATCTAATTAAACATATCCATGTTTTAAAAAGGTGACGACATGGCATAAACTAAGAGAGAAGTCCCTCACATTGTCTAGCGAACAATTTGGTTTGGTTCACCCACAATGGTTAAATCGCTTATCTTATGTTCACTGGCATTCCAATAAGACTAACGTATTTCTACGATGAATAAAATTTTATTATTTTGGATTAGGAACGAATACCCTATATTCAAATCTATATCGATCGTTCTCTATTCATACCCGCAATACATCCATATATAAATCTCTAGATAACTAAAAATTCAAGACAAATCAAAACGGATATCGAATCGAACCAAACATTAGAGGTAATATTGTTAAATTTGGGCTAATTCTGGGCTTCCAACTAAAAACCAATTGGCAATTAGTGGATTGGCACTAACCCTTTATATATTATTGATTGTCCCATCAAACTTCCGATGTGGGACTTTGATTGTATCTCCAACAATCTCCCCTTCAATCTAAGGACCACATGGATCTTAACACACCTCCTCGATCCCTCACTCGGACCGATAATAAGCCCCTTTCTCGGGCCCCCATTACTCGGGTTTGAGGTATGTCCGTATCCACTTTTCTAGGTCCACCAGAATTTGAACCTTGGGCTCTGATACCATGTTAAATTTGGGCTAATTCTGGGCTTCCAACTAAAAACATACCCGCAATACATCCATATATAAATCTCTAGATAACTAAAAATTCAAGACAAATCAAAACGGATGTCGAATCGAACCAAACATTCCAACAAATATGTCCATCCCAACTCGAACCAATGGGCTTTCACATCCACACTAACATGTATTTTTGGCATTACATTCTTTTTTCCACGACACAATTCGTCTACTACATTTGTATTGACCGTCTCTCTCCACGGCTTCCTTATCTTCTCCACAAGAAAAGATTTTGTCATATTCTTCTACCTTTACATAAAAACCGGAAAAATACTAATAATCATAAATAAATAAAGGCATAAAAAAAAAACATAGAACCCCACTTAATGAAAGTTTCAAGACCGAACCTAATAATAATATTATTATACCATCATATCCTTTGATCAACACAAAAATCCCTTTTCCCTTTTCTGATTTTTCTTCTTTTTCTTCCTCAATCATCATGGAAACTAATCTACAACAGGTGAAGAACAGTTCTCAAACTTTTTCTGAAAAGCAAAACCCTAAACAAGAAGCTTCACCAATATCATCTACTTGTTCTTCTCCTTCTCATGACTTCTCTTTCACTATCTCTCTCCAGCCTCTCTCTTCTTCCTCAAAACATATCAGCCCTACTCTTAGAGGTTCAACAAAAACGACATCGTCTTATCAACAAACCGATCCTTTCGCCGTCGACTTATCTCCGGCCGATGAGATCTTCTTCCACGGCCATCTTCTTCCTCTCCACCTCCTCTCCCACCTCCCTGTCTCTCCTCGAACATCCACCAGTTCTTATAATGACGGATTTACCCTCCCCGTCAAAGATATATTACCTGACCAGCCCACAAACAACAACAACACTGAAAACGCTATCACAACCATCAGTACGGAGGCAAAGAACGACAACACCAGCGACAAAGCAGAGAGCGAGAATCTTTCTCGGGTAAAAACCAAACCCATGAAGTCATTTTCTCTCTTTGGTTTATCAAAATGGAGAAAGGGTTTTGAAAGCAACGAGCGAGAACAAGAACAGCAGCAACAGAAGATCAAGAAACCTATGAGCTTAGACCTAAGTCACGCCGTCAAGAAGTACATAAGGATGTTGTTTCAGAAAAGAGGAAACGGCACGCAGTTTAGAAACAGAAGACAGACTTCTTCTTATTCTTTCTCTTCCTCTCTTATGGGTCCAAACGGAAACAGCAAAACAATGATTAATGGATCATACAACAAGAGAGATCTGATTAGAGGAAGGAGAGGTGAGTTGTTCTCGGCTCCGGCGTCGATGAGAACATCTCCGACTAATAGTGGACATCTCCGTGTGTCCACGGCCGGACTATCGTCAAGCTCGGGGTCCACGTCATCATCGTCTAGTGATAGTACCATGGAAGAGTTACAAGCTGCGATACAAGCGGCCATTGCTCATTGCAAGAACTCAAGCGCCGTTGATCGTGATGATAAGGTTAAGGATTCTTGATTTGGTTTTTTCTTTTGTCCTTAATCTGTTGTTCTTTCTTGTCGGAAAGAAAAAAAAGAAAAAAACAAAGTGTTAGTGTGTGACGTGGAATTTAAGAATTACAGTAGAGGTAATTATTTATTTCGTGTATAGTATAGAAAAAGGAGTTACTGTTCCTATACTATGTGTCCCCATAATTCATTTATAATAATAAAAGAGATTTATTTTAAAGAAAATTGTGACAACTTTGTTAGAATAATAGATAGATAACAACAAGTCCAGGCTGGGTTTTATTGTTTGTTTCCACAAATTGGGGATGACCAAAAAGATGAGTAAATGAGAAGAGTTTCATTTTGAAAAGCAAAAGAAGAGATGGGGTTTATGATCGGCTCTCTTCGTTTACTTGTCTCTGCGACATAACCAATGTTAGAGCAAAACCATTGATTGTGGTGGAGACTAGCATAAAAAATAAAATGACACAAGAGATTCTCTTTGCTTCCATATTTTTATCTTCCTTTTTTTTGCTATAGACTAAGGTCTTGAATGTTTAGAGCGGAACTTTGATACACGAGATGCGTTCCTATATCATGTCTCCATTCATGACATTATTTGTATGTGTGGGACAAAAAACACACTTACGTAATAAAAAATAAAAAAAAATCAAAAGTGTACCTTTTTAGCTTAGTTTTGAAGAACGCATAGTGCAGTTAAGAATTCTCTAATATTGTGTGGTTTGCTGCGGTACTATTTTATTTTTATTTTTTCCAGTTCAAAAAATTCTGGAATTTTTTATACAATTAAATTACCAGTATGAACAATTTTCTTTACTAAACAAAAATAATTCAAAAACTTGAAATTGAGAAATTATTAATCAAAGTTTAAATAAATAATATATTATACCACACTTATAATAGTCACCATTCAAACATTCTCTAGTACCGCTTTCTTTATATAAATCACACTTATTCCGCATGATGCGTTTCTAACAACCGCACCGCAGTAAAACCGTATCATATCTCTACAACTGCTTGTCCTGCACCGCCCAAACAGCTGTCACCATTCGAAGCCTTAATCCATAGGTTATACATTCTCGTAAAATCTAATATTTTTTCATTTTCAATGAAATATTTACATTTTTAGTATAAAAAACAAGACACAAGATTTAACCACGTATGTGTCGGTTTTTACACTAACCACCAATCATTGACCTGCAAAGAGGTATTGCTTTAACAGCATATAAAGGTACTTAAAGTGTTACAATTAACTTCAACAATAACACACGCTAAGTAAATGCAAACATTTATAGATTCAAGAAGGCAACTCCCCATTAATCTTTGCTTTGTTTTTTTTTTTTTGAATGAATGTAAAATTATATTCAACCAAAAAAACGTGTTACAATGAATGCGCCTGTTTTGCTGATGTTTTGAAATTACAACAGAGAGTTTTGGAGGGATCACTTGTTGCAGCTACAATCTTGAGGCAAACCACATCTGGAGACCTTCCTCAAAGCCACCAGTGGAGATCGAGCTAAGTCGGTTGCGGACGTTTTTGTCAATCCTTTTTATTAGTTGGGCTTGAGGCATAGGGATTTCTCCATGTCTCCTAGCATTTCTTTCTCGCCAAAGATGGTACAGGGTTGTTTGAGGACTGTGAGTACAAAAACAGAGGAAGAAGAGAGAAAGGTTGAAGAGACCGAGAGGTGTTCTTCGAGAGAGAAAAAAAAATTTAGGGTTTACAAGATCGTATTCTCTGATACCATGTCAATCCTTTTTATTAATCTTTGCTTTGATTCGTGCTTGCAAAAAGAATTTCTTCATGTTCTTCACAACGGCAATACCTTTTCGAAGTTTATAATGAACATCATTATTTTACAGCAACATCTTTGTTTCTAACTTTCTACTTTTCAACTATGAACATATATAACTCCTTATATATATGTCAATGCATCCTCCAATGAACGAAGTACAATCATTAGAGCCACAATTTGTAATATTGATTCAATATGATGTCGATACCTCCATAAACACCATTTTTTATTCTTGAAACTTGGACATCAAGCTTTTCTTTTTCTCTTGTACGGAAATGCATGTAAACCTTCAAAAAATCTCATTCATTATAACAGTTAATCGATCTAACATTTCCATTAAACATACATAGTTCATATACTTTGAATATGTTTTCGTCGATTTTGTTTTTGTCCTTTGAAATATATTAAAAATTGATGAATTACATATGTCAACGGAAGAAAGATATATGTAAGGATTTCGATATAACTCAAAACTACAATCAATTGTGGATTCAATGCGTTTGTTTGTTTCGAGGAAGAGATCGATCAATTCCTTTTTTTTCTTTGAGAATGCCAATCCTGGACAAAAGCTGAGGGCATCTCACTATATTTTTTCCTTTTTCTAGTTCTTCTTCCAAGTGCAGGTTAGACACTAAACCAACGGAAAATGTTGAAATCCCGGGAAACAACAACCCTAAAGAAGGAGACAATTTCAGAAAGAAAAAGCCCAAGTAAAAATACAAGCCAAAACTGTTAAAAGTCAAGTATTTACCAATTAAAGCTTAATCCTATTCTACATTCTTCCCAAAATCAGAAATTGTCTTGATGTCGATGAAAACTACAACTCACCGAAAAATTTTGGTCTTCATGTCCTCGTTTGGTGTTTGATAGACTTCCGTATTGTTTGTTTTGAAAGCAAATTCTCAAAAACGGTTTTTAATAGTAGTGAATGCAATCTCTCCCTTTTTGACAATCAAAAGTTCAAACTTTAAAATTGACAAAAACAAAAATAAATCAGTTTGGTGATGGTTATCGTAATTTCTTTCCTTGTAGCGTTAAATTGTTTATGCAGAATTTCGATCATCCACCTTTTGTTCTTGCTCATATATAGGCATAGCTGGAGTCGACTACTGACTAGTAACTAAACATGTATATATAACGAAAGGGGCAATCATTGGGGACACCAATGAGTTATCTTTAGCTGAATTTCTTACGTTCGAGTAAAAAAGAGTCTGATACGAGAAGAAGAAGAAAATAGTAGGAATGTAAAGTATAAATTCGACTTCCTACCAAAAAAAAAAAAAAAGTATAAATTCGACTTTTGATATGATTTTAGGTTTTATATTATTTCAATATGAATATGTAATTATTTAAATGCTTTGGAAGTTTGGATATTGACTAAAATGTATATATTCGAATTTAGACTGGGATAACAAGTCAAAATGGATAATGCGGGTATCTATTTTTTAAGGAATCCATTTTTCCTCCAATGAGAGAAATATAAACATTAGTGCTACAATAAAATTGATTCAATATTCGATTTCAATATTTTAATAAACACCATTTTTAAACTTTTTTTTTTTTGATAAACGATTAGCCATTTTTGAACTTAGACAGCAAGCTTTTCCTTTCTTTCTTCATGAAATAAATGTCAAAGTGAATGTAAGAAACGAGTCCGATAACAAATGTATCCCAAACTTTAAGAGTACCGGCCCGGTGTCCAACTCTACCATGCACTTAGGAGCCAGAATTTTATTTGAGAGCATGTGCAATGAGAGTCTCTTACTAAAGTCTCTCAAACAAAAAAAAAAAATAATAATAAAATAATAAAAAGTATTATATAATTATGAGAGTCTCTAAAAAAAGTGGTGAGAGTCTCTCAAGTGAGAGACTTTCTCTACATTTTTTAGAGACTCTCACAATTAAATATTACTTTTTATTATTTTATTATTTCTTTTTCGCATGATAGACTTGGATGAGAGACTTCCATTGTACATGCTCTGATTCGCACACGGCCGCCATTAGTCGGTTGAATGTTGATCTTTTTGCATGAACGGTATAAGTAACATATCTTGTTTTATTAGGCTAGTCTTGGAAATCCAGAACAAACCCCAAAAGTTTGCAATTATTAAAGTTCTTACGTAGGGCAGGTTGATCATCTAATAGAAAACGTCACACTACCATTTTGGGTTGTTAACATGGTTCACAAATGGCAGCATTATGAGACTTTATATTAGCGTTTACCGATTTTAGAGGCGGCCTCACAACAAAGTAAATGACTTCTGACACAAAAAGCATGGTGACATGATCACAACATCATTGACCTAACTGACCACAACTCGTGCACATGAAGATGGGGTCATGCGCCGACATTCATTATCGTGAACTAACATTCTTAGAAAAATATCGTTGTTTAATGAGCAAACCAGAGTTGTAAAAGTCATCACCTCACTTTCTTTCCATGCATTGGAGTGCACGATTTAGTTCTGAACCACTATTTGTTAAAAAGTGTTAAGGTTGGGTAAGGACTTGGGCGCAAAACTGTTGATTTCTATCAACGGTTTCTTGGGTGGAATTGGTTTTACTAGTTGTCTGCTTTTGACTGTGGCACTAACATTTGATTTGTTTTGTATGTTATATACATTTAACCATAAACAACGTTACATGAGTGCTCTTATACAAAATCTAAAGAGAATTGTAAAATTACATATAAGCTCATGAAAGTCAGATTCATCACTCTCTTGATGGTAATTGGATACAATATCTTCAGGTAAAACCGGATCGCCATGTATGTTGCCAGGCAAAGCTTGAACACTGTTGTTTCCATGGTTTATGAGTTTCACATGAAGCAATAAGACAATAATTCCAACCAGTGTTTTTAAACCCGATTCGGACGGTTTATGGGTCACCGGATCACTGGGTCCACCTCGACCATGAGTCAATTAATTAAAATTTGTTTGATGTATTTAATATTTCTAAAGATTATCCTATACTATTTGGGGAGTACAATTTATAATTACCCTTTAATAACGTTCCCCTTTGTAAGTTATTACATTAGAATGCCATTAGAGATAAAAATATAAAGAGTAAATTAATTTAGCTCATTAAGGATAAACAAGTCAAATACTAATTTATGAAATTTAATTAATTTAATTATTAAAAAAAAAATATATTATTAAGGGAAAAAGATACCTAGCTACACGAAGTATGCTACAATACATGGCTACACATCCGAAGTTTCAAAATGTATCCCTAACTACACAAACTATATGTATCGCATGCCCACATATACGAACTATATGTAGTCATGTCGCCAACATCACGAACATTTTTTCCGGTACACTTTTCCGGCGTTGACCAACATAAATATTCAAAAAAAAAAAATTAGTTTTTTAATATTTAGAAAATTATGTTATTGAATCATTTATAATATTGTATAATTAAAAAATA